AGAGAGCTTGGCGGACAGCCGCATCCGGCCCGCCGATTCCAGTAGTTTACATTTGTCATGACTAGCTAACCTCGCTTTGCTTGCCCTGGCGGGTGTTAGGCATTGTCCATTGAGGATGGATGTTCCTAGTGGAATGTCATGTGATGTTTGTTGGGGAGTGAAATGCTAGTTTTCATTATGGTTAGATGCAGAATGTGCCTTGTCAAATATGTGTCTGCATGTGTTAACCACGTTTTGGGGATTTACAAAACAGGCTGAACAAGTGAAGACACTTATTGGTTTTGTGCTTTTCTGAAAGTGATTGGTATATTGGATACGGTCTTTCTGGCCAGTCCTACGTGAGATGCAGAGTTCATACAATAATGCACACTTGACCCATCTTCTCATGATGAAATTTATTATGAAAGCAGCGGGGGATTGCAGAACGAAAACCACATCATTGTTTGTTATGCCATGCCACAGTACAGCGCTGGAGTAGGCCACAATGACACTGTTGACCAGTGCCGTTTCACGATGTACCACACTGGTTGACTGCTCTATTTCAAACCTGTGAGAAAACAGTTAATAATTTATGACTGGCTTAACAGCTGATTTAACGCAACCAAATGACTATTGCGAACCGGAATGCCATAACACCGCAATAATTGTATCAGGGCTAACTAGTGACTGCATAAATAATCCTGTGCAAGAAAAGCATTCTTGGTGGCTCAACCTTACTTCTTTACCATAGCAATAACGATGATTTGGTAATCAACTCATAGCAATGTTACAGATTCATTGTAAACTTTTGCATGTGACTGCACTTCCAGTTGCAAAAATCAGAGAAAGCCAATGCTGCGTACGTCACAAGATATCAATGTTTCGACTACAGCACTGCAGGCAAGGGTAGGTCGACAGTTCAGTATTGACATCTTCGACAGTCCGGGGCAGGTCTTGGTTAGAGATTCATGACACTACACGACTGTTTCCACAGCATATCGTGCTTCTTATGATGCAGATTCTTAATAATCTACCATAAAAGACGACGATCACTACGTTGCGTATGTCCAACTGTCCACAAAAGGTTGTCCTACGACCAGTGCCAAGACAAAATTCCACAACCAAGCCATGCACTGGCCGGCCACCCCACACAGCACTCGCCACCAGGATGGCCGGCGGGCGTTAGCTTTAGCGCGTTTCGAGGTATTCTTTAGGTCTGGCTGCCAGATGTTACCAAGTTTTGCTGTCGTATCAAAACCATTCCATGACGCCACCAAACGATAACGTAATGGGGCGCATTTTTACAAACTTCGAAATTTTGCTACTTAGAGTCGTTTTTGAGCCTTGAAAACTTGCCAATAGTTACATGTAAGCTTCTCCTGTCATATCTGGTGCTTATCTCAATATCTTCAAATGTGGAACCTTCCCTTTAAAACGTTCAGCGTTTATGTAGTCCACCGCGCGTGAGACCCACGGGTTGGAACGCTTTCCCACTTCCCCGCAACCCTTAAACTAATGGTTCGGATATCACCCAATAGAGGGCTACCGTAGGCGATTTCGCCTCTCAGCCGAAGATTGACGGCATGCGGTACGGGGTTGCCCAGTTGAACCACTGTGCGTGGATATGGGCAACGTTTTGTTTGAGCACGCCAAATTTGCCGCATGAGCACGCCCTTGAC